TCAAGCAATGCTTTCCTAACTTAGTTACTGAGCCCCTGTTCATGATCAAGCTGCTGGTTTCTCGTCAATTCCGTGTACCTACCGTTGGCTTGTTTCCTTGAAAACCTCATCCACCACCCACCCTGACCTGGCATTGTCCCACTATCTCTAGACAGCTCAGATGGACCATTATCCAAGCTTATGTTCTCAAGGATTGTGATCCACCCTTTCTATTTAGGAAGCAATCTACTAAATCTTTAAGTGCATCCTGGACTATTCTGCATCAAGCAGTTGTTTTCCCAGATTTGCAAGGCTGCTACCTGATTTTTATTCACAAGTTTCTACCTACGTTTTACCAGATAGATGTTCAGGTCTCATCCGCCAGCTTCAGGCATAAGTTCCTTTAGACGACTATTTGAGCAGCAGGCAGTCCAGTCTTGCCAGCCCCTCAGTTGGACTGATTTTGCCTGTTCTGAATGTAAATTACTTCCTGTGTCCCTCAATGGACAAGAAATAAAACAGGATTTTTGTACTAACTGTAAAAATCTTTTTCTTGGAGTCCACTGTGGGACACAGGTCCCAACCCAATAGAGTTCTGATCATACTCTTGGTATTGCTATGCCACAAAACTACCAAAAGAGACACGCTGCTAGTAGGAGGGGGTTATCCTGGGCTGGCCTATAGTATTTTTCTTTGCTAGTGTCCAATCCCTCTGTAGCTGGCAGTAACATAATGTAAATTATTTGAATTACATCCCATTTTTAGGCCCTCCTGAACAACAGGGTATTGTAATGGGCTCAATAGAGCTCACAAAGCTACCTCAACAACCTTACAACAGAAGCTGGCAGCAGAGGAGGCCTGGACAACAACAGATGCCTGATACAGTGAAATGCACTTTGATAGGAAAGGATGGAACCTTATGCTCAAGGCTGTAGACTTACAAAATAAGCTGTCAAATCCAACTAGAGATAGTGGAACGAGAAGCAGGTTGTCCCCTATGAGGATCCTCAGGTGTGACAAAAAAGAAAAGTGTGTCTGTTTAAAAGAAGTTGTAGCTGAGAAGTACACTTGAGCAGCATGTGTCACATCCAGACAGTGTAGGGAAACTTCCTTGGGATGTTGTGGAACAGGACATAGAGATGGGAGGACACGGTCCTGGTTAAGGGGAAAAACCACCTTTGGAAGCGAATAGTCCCTGGGCCTCAGGACAACCTTGTCTCTGTGTAACACAGGAAGGGGTTTCCTTACAACTCAGAAAATCGCCTTGCAATGGTGATGGCAATGAGAAAGGCAACCTTGCAAGAGAAAGTAAACGGGAATATCCCTGTTAGGCTCAAGGGGGGTTTCTGGAGACCCGACAGAACTAGGTTGAGATCCTAACTGTGTGGTCCCACTGGGAACTCACATGTGGAACAATATGTGCAACACCTTGTACAAAGGCCTTCACTAAGGTGTGTGTGAGGCAAGCTGGCATTGAAAACAAATTACTAGGCCAAGTGCTAGTATTTAGGGCCAAATGTTGATCCAGATCAGGCTGGAGAAAAGACAGGATTCATCTCACAAAGTACTTACTGGGTTGGAAAATTCCTTTGTAGGAAAAGGAGGAAAATGCCTCCCATGGGCGATAATACACTTGGCAAAAAGTCAACTTCCTAGCTTTCAGGAGTGTGGGGTGAACCGGAAAAGGTAGGCCCCTATCCGTCACAGCCTAGGTTTCAACAGCCAGGCCATTAAGCAACCGAGAGACAGGATGGGAAATTGGTCCTTGGCCCAGAAGATCTGGGAGGGCCCACGGAGAGTCTCCTAGGTGTCTGATAAGGTCTGAGTACCACGTCCGCCTAGGTCAGTTCAGTGAGATGAGAATCACCAGAATGTAAAGACATTTTATGGGGGTAAAAGCATAGATTAGATTGAACTGATCCCATGATCACACGGAGCCATCACAGCATTCACAGAGGGTCCCCGGACCCAAGTGTCTGAAATGTCCTGGTACCAGGTTGCCAGTCTCTTAAATCTACCCCCATTCTGACAGATGCAGGTGACCCCCTCATTGCAATAAAGACTTGCTCCTTGGTTTGGAGGACTTCAAAGTCCAGAACTCATGGTGGAACTGATTCCCAGGCTATGCCTTGGATTTGGAGGTATGGGAAAGATAAGTAGCCTTTGAGGTAGAGGGTTTCCAAAATGTAGGCCTTTCTGGGGAACAGGGGTGCTCTTCGCTCCAGTGACATTCTTAATAAAGGTGTCTAGGGATTCGCCAAAGATACGTTCCTGCTCAGAGGGCATGCACAATATGTGCTTTTTGCACTCCTGATAAGAGGACCAGCATTTAAACCAAAGGTTCCTCCATAAGTGTATTAAACCGAGACTCATTATGCATATCAGGCATATATTTGCCAACCATCAGCACAATACATTAGGACCACAGGCAAGAGCTTTAGCTGCTGGGGGATGGAGGGATCATTAGGATAGATCCAGGATCCCAGGACTTATCACTGCATCAATGGCAACAGAGATGGTATCCTTAAGTTTTAGACTTATGTCAGCAGACTGAAATTCCTCATGTACTAAGTCATCAAACATAGATGTGGTACTCTCCTCATCATCCTTAGCTGATGGTGCAGAAGCAGCTGCAGCTACGGGGAAATCAGAGATGGCTTCTAGAGGAGACGGTGTGGATGTACGATAACAGCCCCTGCACCTAAGTCAGCTTACACGGCAGAGATATTCCTTATAAACTCAGACTGAGTTGAGAGTTACTCTGTAAATAAAGAGGAGGGAGCCACCCCTGAAGGGGTTAAGTCTGTGAGTCACAAAGGGGACAGTGGTTTGGGCTGTGTCAAGGTTTTTATAAGGAACACTACGAACCATTTGAGAACTGTTGTGGATGGTATGCTGCCCTGATGCTTATGATCCTCCATACTAATGTATGTGAGGGATTGCCATATGGGGTACTCACAAGCACTGTGAGAGCAGGAAATTCAGTCTGTAACCATGCCACTGGAGGCAGCAGAGTCCCCAATACAAGTCTCTAAGGATCATAGGGTTGGTGCAGCAATGTATGAAGTGCTGAGAGGTCTGCGTGGTCCAGAGAAATGGTGCATGTATATACACAGTGTAAAACCTAAGATAAGAGGCTGTGCAAACTCTGTGATGGGTGCCTGGGCAGTAAGCCCGTGAGTAATAGCACCAAGTTCAAAAATGGTGCTGTACCTCCTCCCACCGCTGGCATGCAACCAAAAGAGTTGCATCTGGTGCTCCCTTGTTGATCTCTTAGGGGAATCGAGAAGTAGTAAAAGCACACCTAGGCTTCCATAAAGGTGAAGCCCCAACTTACCGCAGCCCTGGGACAGAGGTCCAGGTGAGTATATATTTGTTATTTTAGACCTTAGACTAAAACGAGCACTTAACCCTTGCAGTGTGGGGGTAGCCCCACTGCCAGGGCTAGGTTTTATTCTGCCTGGAGTTCTTCTTTAACCTCCTTGGCGGTATTCCCGAGTGGGGCTCGGGGTTAATTTTCAGTACCATAAGCGGCAACCCCGAGCCCCACTCGGGATTACAGCGCAGTGTCTCTTACCTTGTCCACGATCCCCGCTGTGTCCTCCGGCCCTTGCGAGCGTCCGCGTCGCAGGGGGGCGGGAATTTTAAAAGTAAAAAAAAAACGAAAAACAGATGGAACAAAAAAGGAAAAAATAAATAAAATAATCAGACCGCCAGGGAGGTTAAGTAAATTCTGCTCTATGCTACAAAAAACAAATATGGCAGACCATTTGTGGGGTGATTTGATGCAGACACACACTGGAAGTCTTCAGTTGCCTTGTTTTTATGGTAATTTCTTGGCTTCTGGTGTGTAAACTGTACCTTTTAGGAGGATGGGGCAGTCTCCAGATGCTCTCTGTTTGTGCATTGCTATACACAGTATGTCTTATAGTCGGGACACTCATATAGTGTAGATTTAGGGACCACACTTACTAGTGGTGCCTTGATGTGGCGGTGTGACTTCCCGTATATACGCAGATGTATGTAATTAAAACTCTTGTTTTAAACCTGAGTAGTTAAACAGATTAGCTTGTTTTTGATGTTGGCTATCTTTAACGTGTACTTGAAAGTGTGGGAAACTCTTTTGTACCGTTTTGCTCTATGCCGGGGCATGCTGCGACTTGCAGTTTGTAGACGTCCACACTGATCAGTAATGCCCCACCACCCAAACACAGCACAGTGCAAACATTTTTGCTTCCAGAGATGTATTTTATTTGGACAAATCACGTTTTCTTGCCCCTTTGGGGCTGTCACATTTTCACACAAACGCTGACAAACATTATACACACTTCTCATGGGGCCTGCTCCGTACAGGCAATAGAATAAATTATTTCATATAGTCATAATATAATATATCTTCTTTTTTTTTTCTTTAAACTCTGAATACTTAGAACATTGTTTTTGCTCACTAACGATCAGGTCACGATAGTACCGCACGGCAAGCTTTAAGTTACACACATTACGATAGTGTTACTGCCACACAAAAAAAGACTTAGGATCTGGGAATCGAACCACGGTGAAAATACACGGCAACACATCACGTGTCAAAAGAACTAAGCCATATGACGGAACCAGGAGGGTAGATACCGAGAGAGGCTGGAAGGAGAGCGTAGAGAAGTGACAGTGTCATAGAGGGAACAAACAAACATACAAAATTGCCGCTACAGCTTCTGATATATACTGCTATCCATGAATATATATTTTGTATACATATATATATATACACAGAGGACTGGCACACGTAGGACTTGTGCACACAATCACGGGCCCTAACGAGTCTCCCTCGTAGAGGGTCATCTTGATGGCACGTCTTAATATTCCACATATGTGGCAGCCCTCAACTCATTCATTGTCTTTGAAAGTCTGAGAAGACCCCAATAATTCTATAATTGCTCTGGAATTTGGTAATATATATGTATAAATTATTTATGTATATATGGTCTATAAGCCTCTAGAGTTCTCTCCTCCTCCTGTGATTTTTTATGATTGGTCTTCTCTCCATATCTACCTCTTCATTGGCATTTTGTCAGGAGCAGACTAAGCCGTGCATTACAGGTGAGGGAGCAGGGGTGATGCACACAACCGCAATGCTGGGTGGTAGAAGTGGGATGTGGTGGTTGCTTTTTTTTTGTTTTGTTCAGAAGGGATTATTTTCCCCGTAAGACCCCTTCAGTCTGAGAAGAGACTGGCGAAGGATTTCCTCAGGTTGCGGATCGTTTCGGCCTTCACCTCGTCGTGACTAAGACTGGAGCGTGGAGCTGGTGAGTCTGCAAGGGTGAAGGAGTTGGTGAGGGACTGGGACTTACTGAAGAACAATGATCAGTGATGGTGTAGTGGTAGGAAGGAATGGTGGCAGAATGCAAAAGAAAATGAGATAGCAATATTGAGAGAGTGAAAGTTGTTTCATTAAGAAGAATGGAAAGGATTAGGCAAGAAAAAAAGAAAGAATAGAAAGAAGCACATGAGAAGGTAGGAGGACAGAATGTGCAGGAGATGAAGACGTGGGACACAAGTTACATGGAAGATGGGTTATATATGTTGGTTTGTCAGAGGGAGGAAGAGAAGGGATTTTTAAGGAAAGGGGAGAGAGAAATAATGATCAGTTAAAGTCATGCATTAATAATCATCCACACTTAAATATCCACAAGTCTCAGACACCATCTACAGGCCTTCAAAAAGGGAGGAGGTATGAATCACAGAACACAGTCAACCTTGGGAAATCAACTGAACCCACCAAACAGCAATGACTAGACCTTGTGTCTTAAAATGAACCCTAACTGTTCTAGGCACCCCGTGCCACCAGGGAAGGAGAACTGCCCTTATGACCCAACAGGATCCAAACTATAAGTGTACACAAGACTATGAGCAAAACCACATGGTGGTCCAGTCTTTGACGGAAAGCTGTGTCTACCTTACCTAAGCGGCATGCAACAAAGGGATGCAAAAGGTAGTACGTGAAGCTGAAACCTGTGTGGCCCACCCAGAACCTCAAGGGCTCTTACTTAAGCTGCGGCTGGGGTGGGGGCAGCTCTTGGCCAGGCTTCTGAGCCACCTGAGGCTTTTGTGGCCCACCAGGACGTGCCGCACCCTGCCCAGGTCCCTGTGGGTTGGGCCTGGGTTGCTGGGTCATAGGTCGCTGCGGCGGTTGTTGCTGCTGTGGTGGCTGTTGCTGTGGTGGCTGCTGTTGAGGAAGCTGTTGTTGGGGACCACCGGGTCCTGATGAGCGTTGCTGGGGTGGTGGCTGCTGTCCTGGCTGGCGGATGCCTTGTTGTTGTTGTTGGTGCATTGGTGGTGGTGGCTTCTGCTGAGGGCCTACAGGGATTGGCTGTCTTGGAGGACCAGGTTGGCGGGGTTGAGGAGGCTGGACACCCATTGGCTTTGGGCCTGCTGGCATAGGAGGAACCTGCTGCTGCTGACGTTGGGGTGACTGCGCACTTTGAGGGCTTGGTTGCCTTTGAGGGGAATGAGACTGGCGAGGAGATCCCTGCTGTGATCTCATCTGCTGGGGCTGCTGCGGCTGCTGCTGAGGGATCATCTGCCGTTGTTGTGCCCCAGGGCTTGGAAGGTTTGGTAAATGTTGCGATGGTTGAGGACCAAGACCTTGAAGCTGTTGTCCTTGGGGTGAAGGTCTTTGTTGGGGTGGAGGAACCCCTTGCCGCTGAGCAGCCTGTGCTGGTGGTGGTCCTCCTAAAAATAACACTTAGGTTAAAACAAACAGACAAGAGTTTGAAAAACAATACGAAGGTTAAACGAACCATTCCTAACTACCTAACAAACAAGAGTTTGCCCCAGTGTGCATACAATTACATTTGAACATAACCTCTATGACCCACTAGAGAGGTTTCTTTGCAGTGGTTTATGTCGTCTCCGTAACTCTCACAATGTTATGATAATAGCCTAAATTTGTAAAACATGGACTCTTTAACAAGAAGCTGAACTCTGCAAGTTGTGCCCAAAAAAAGGCAGGCAGAGGGCAAAGGACTAGTCACCAGTATTGCCTGTAGAGTCCTTACAGCTGATCTTTAACCATTTGTTTCATGCCAGAGCCTCCAACAAGGAGGACAGCAAGCAGCACAATAGTGACATCACCAAATCTCCTGAAACTCGCACAGTTAGAGGCATCAGTACCTCAGATCTCACACAGCGCATATACAGCTATGGGGCTGTAGGCACTGGAGTGAGTAAGCACACTCACATATCAGCAAATGAACGGTTATTTTTCAGGAGTAATTCTAGACAAAAGTAACATTTTTTAGGGCACTGCTTAGGCACAATTAACATTTCTAAATGATACTTATATAACATAACAAATCTTCACTTTCACCTCACCTATTGAGTTCAAGGGAACTGTGAAGCCATCATTGGCTTTGTACTGATCCCAAAATCTGTATGGACCTGGGATTTCTAGTGGAGATGCCCCACAATGGAGTTCACACCAGATATAAGAAACCAGCAAGTGATTTGTTTGGAGGTTTTGGGTGAAACTGGGCTTTAAAGGGACTTAGAATACACATATAATTCATGCTTTTAAAGTGCACCTGTCACTTGCAGAAATGTATCCAACTTGCAGATCAAAAGGAGAACCTTAAAACAAGCACCTATATGAATATGGTTTGGTGACTACTACTCGCCCAATTATTAAGAAACCTGAGAGCCCAATTGCCTGCAGAACTGCCATAGAAGACTAGAGGCATCAACTATTTATGAAGACATTATTTCAGTCTCATAAAGCAATTCATGTTCTTTACTACACCCTATCTGACTCTATGGTGACTTCCCTGAAGGCGACCATTAATTATGTCTGGGCAAGTGCCAATGCTTCTGTTAAAATACCCAAATATTTGATGGCAAATACCACTTAGATCAATGGATACTCATTATTCATGGCTTCCTAAAGCAGTGGCGTAACAACCGGTGGTGCGGGGGGGTCACTTGCCCCGGGCGCAGGACTGAGGGGGGGCGCCGTCACGACCCCCGCTAAACGAAGCCATGGCTCCCTCTCCCTGACACGATCACCTGGCTGTCATCGGGCGGCCGCTCGCTCTTCCGAGGCCACTGCGGGCGGCCCTCTACATTGCCTGATTGGAGGGCGCGTCTGCCTGATCCAGCCAGCCAGCCCGGATCGCA